TGCTAACACGTCTCCGCGAGGGAGAGACCAAACCCCAAGGATTCCATGACGGAAATGCCATGGGGTTAAACCCATATCCCGGAGGATAGGGGAAAGGTCCCGCGGGCTGGGAGTGACCCCAGAACTGGCCAAACTGGCCTGCCTGAGACTGGGGCTGGCCAACTTGCCCAAAGGGCGAAGGTGGACCGCCACTCCCTCCAGGTGGAAACCCGGACATGTACGGGCTAAGCCCGTAACTGCCGGGATGCTGCCGCAACCCAAAACCATCCGCAGGCTGGTAAGGGCGGCCCAAGGATGGTTGCCCGCAGGCACCCGTATACCCTAAGCCAGGGGAAAACGGAGGCCGGAAACCGGCCCCCTGTCCAGCAAACCCAACCCCTGGGGGGAAACCCCCCAGGTTCCCAGAAGAATGAAACTCGGGACCGGACCTAATAGGACCGGGTCCGGGTAACTGACCGGGAGGGTATGCCTGACCAGCATTGATGCCGGGATTAGTGAGCTGCGCGTCACTAATCCCGGTAGACACAGACAATCCCGAAAGAAAGTCTGTTGTCACACCAGGACCTGAACCCGAAAGAACAGGCCCGGCACCAAGACTGTCCCCAACGACAGCACCACCTGGAATGCCGGGATCACTGACAGAGTCAGTGACCGGCGGCCGGTAGTCCCTACCCGAAGGCAAGCGCGAAAGCTTACGGGCGTTCCCGGCCAATTCGACCCTTGGCTGTGCCAAGCCAGGGTCAGGCTGCCCCTCCCCTACTCCAGGGAGTTCCTGGACAGGAAGGGCCACCCCCTGCTCACGAGAGGGACTTGCCGAAGCAAGACCCCCCGAGACAGGAACAGAGACAGTACCACCAGACCCCAGAGAGCTGGTGGCACGACCCCTACCTCTCTGCTTCCCTCGCTTACCGGAAGAAACAGACGAATCTGTCTTACGGTAAGTTGAGGGTAGCTTTGGAACAATGAAGTGCTTGCCCTGAGATTTTGACTGTGAACAAAGTTCACAAGGCGAAACCTCACTGCAAGGACGACACCTGGGACAGGCATCATGAGGGTCCCGTTCCACAAAGAAATGGGAACACCCATGAGCACTACCTCGTCGCTGTCCCGACCGAGACATACCCTCCAAAGCGAACGTAAACAAAAAATTTACAAGCAGATAAAACGGGAAAATAAGGTTAAAATACGATAGTACAAAGTACGCAACGTAGAAAGAATTTCACCCGTAATATAAATCAGAAAACGGTTAAAATAAATAACGTTTGCCGAAACAAACAACCGTCACCGAAATAAACAGAGGTCGGAAATTAACCCACGATAATGGCGGACCGTGGCACACCACCGGCACACGTGGAGTAAAATAACCGGCCGTAAAAGGCACAAAAATAATTTTCAACAACAATTAGTTATATCAATAAAGGCAGATGGGTATAAGGCACACAAACTGCGCAAAAATATGAGTTGACACTCAAACCAAACCGACAAAACAATGTTTTGAATTGGAGCAAGCTCCGTGCGTCAGCATGCAGCAGGCGCCATAAAAGGAAGAGGAAGGGAGATCACTCCGTGGCTCTGTCATCGAGATAGAGGTTACGTCACGGTAGGGAGGTAGGGATATTTGAATCTTTTGTTTTTGGGCTACAAAGATGGGTGTAGGTATTGTATATGCATACTAAAGTTATGGTAATTATTACTGAAATGAAATTTTGATTTGCCATAATTTCATTTAAAAAAACTCATTGTTTTCTAAAACAGCAATAGGTGATAATATTTAGGTTTCAAATACATATTTGATGAAACAATCAAATTGTGATAATAAAATCGATGAACACTATAGACATAAAATGATTTTGTACGTTATCAATCTGAGTAAGCTTCAAGTTCTAAATTTCTCTTTAGAATAAATAACATGGGTCTATACATGGCTTCATTATTTCATAACATAAAAAAACTGACGAAAAGAGTAACAAGTGTTTTGATTGGATGATGGAAACAGTTTCGTGATGACGTCGGCGTATTGATTTTTTAATTGATTTTGTGTATTGTATCAGTTGATGTGTGATTTATCGAATTAAATGTTTGAAAATATTTAATCGTTTTTTTTTATTCACATTAGAATTAGCTTATAAGTATAAACGTGAATGGTTTGTTTACGTTATTGAGCCATAACATAAAAAAGGAGTGTACTATTTTCATAAACCGTGTCCACTCATTTTATATGTTATGGCTCAATAACCTAAATCAATCTTTCAAGTTAATCATTAATTAATACAAAATAGATAAAATATATATATCGAACGACATCTGATTCTATTAAAATATCATGAACCAGTCTGATAAAATACACACATACCATTGTTTATATTTAAAACAGCAAATGAAGTTTGTGCATGTCAGTTAAACAAATGTTATTTTAGTAATATCTACAACGTAAGTAAATGTTATTTCACATTCACTAATCATAATAAAATGTTAATTACTTCCGTTTGCTGATTAACTACCGTTCAACCTAACTTATTAATGGAAATGTAATATTCTTGGTAACACAAAATAATAAGAAAAAGAAATACACTTAAATCAGGCATTGCGATGTATTTTAAAGAACAATATCTGGTTAAAATTAAAATGTTTTAAAACAAATTCAATTTATTTTGTAAAATAAATACATTTGTGTAGATGGTAACTTTATTTATAATTGTTTAGTCGGAGTCAATAATCACAAACTTGTGTTTTGGATATTATATAAGTTGGCTCTTGCGTGATCGATAGTAATGTCCCTGTTCTAGAACAGCACCCAGCTGTTGACCATCTGATATTCTATTTATAATTATCACGTGTTTATGGGATGACCACACTCGTGTTATAAAGGAATTGCTCGTGACCGCTTCTTAGGTCATCATGCCCTATGGCCAAGCTTGACCAATCAGCCTAGCGTACTGTTGTTGCTGCCAACAAGGCTAAATACTCAGCAACAATTTGAGAGATAAATATTGACTTAAGAAGAAATTCTAGGCCAGAAAAAACTATTTTCGTCATTGTTTCATGCTCTAGATGGGTACCACCAATTAACTAGTGCTTTTCTTCACAAAAATGCCTATGAAGTTATATCATTTTCCTTGATAACATTAACAGCTATATTATATACAATGAAATATAATTATACGTCACAACTGTATATGCATTGTTAGCCTTTGTTATCATCTATTTCATCGTGATTACATATTGAATCTTAGACTCGTCATCGTCATACATATTCTCATATGCCATACAAAGCAACTTTCCTTATTCACTAACCTATCTACGAATGAGGGTCAAATAGTCATTTTCTCCGCTTGGCACAGAGACAACTGACGACTCTGATCTCACTGAAGGACCACGTTTGACCACTGGATCCTCGTAGGGAGGAGCCGGGTCACTGTTAGCAGGGATGGTATCATATGTGTTTTCTGCTCTGGCTTGGTATGGAGGGGTTGGAATAGGCGCAGAGGGTAGATTTTTCATCTTTTCATCTAATTGGCTTCCTACGTTGTACATGGCTTGGTTTACCACTCCGGCAGAAAGCATCCCTCCTTGGTTAGGACCCGTTTGGTAAGGCGTATAATAAACGTTCGGTTCACTTCTATTTGACGTAGGCTGGGGGCCTCTTCTGTTAATATAAATTAAGTTGTTCACAAGTAATTATATAAAAAGACGCTGATTTTGTAGGAAAATTGCATTTAAAGCGTTTTTTCATGTGTTCATATGTACAAGTTAGTTGATGTGATTTGCAGAAAAGACTTTTTTTATATACGGATATATGATGTCTCCACTATATTGCTTCTTTCTTGCTAGAGTCAACAGTCAGCAGACCGGAGTTGTCTCAAAATGGTCATATTGCAAATTCAAAAGTTAGGAGATCATACTAGTAATTTTGAAAACAGCTATAAAACTTTAAACACAAAGTTATACGAAAATTTGAATACCAGTTATTCAATAACAAGATGGTTATCATAGTATGGTTCGCCTCAAATAAAATATTCATTATAACCATTTTTCTACAGTACTTTCCCTATGTGTTTTGGTTGATAGTTGCTATATTTGCCTCTTGTTCGTTTAATATATGACATGCTGTAATGATATCATGTTTACAATTACATATTTGCCATTTGTTCAATAAATCAATATCATCCTGCAAGGTGTCATGTTTATAGAACTGGGGGCCAGCGTCAACATGAAACAACTCTGGTTCATGAAACAAACTTATCATGCTTAAGCAATCAAAATCTGGTGTTGGTTCAGTTGTCGTAAACGACTGAGTTGTCATAAGAACAAAACGAACCACCCAAACGTTATTATTAATTGTGTGTGAATATGAAATAATATATGCGCCTGATACACTAGGAATGTGTTGAAACATCCCACGTCGCAAACAGAAACAACAAAATGACGATATAAAAAGTATAAGTTATATTAATTTGTGTACAACTAGATATGTAAGAACCTTGCTTTGTTTACATATTTATTCAAATTACAAAATAATTATAGATAATTTGCAAGATTTTATTTACTTATTGTGATTAATAAAACTATCAAACACACAGTCGTGCAATACTCTTTTTAATAACAACTCATTACGTTTCTGATAATGAGATCAATAACGAACTTGCTATTGCAAACTCACCTTCTTTTCCTGACGCATACAATCGCCACTATGGTGACCGAAACGATAATTAGTCCCACAAGTCCAGCCCCTATGTATATAAACGTCTGGTGGTTTGTATCTGAACTGGGTGGAGGAGGAGTCGTCACTTTAACTGTTATTAATAAGACATAAATTACATTGCAAACAATAATATGTAAAATCAATCAATCACTTAAGATAACAAAGACCGACATTTTGGACATCTTCAAAGACGCACCAAAGCCTTCATGACATCTAATTTGTTTTTAATATACAACATTAATGACTACTGTCCTGCCCTTTGTCAATGTTGTAACAAAACTGCACCAACAAAACTCAGACATGATGTGCGTTTTGTTTTGATTAATATAAACATAACTGTCACAAACTACGTCCTCTGTTTCCGATATCATATATATGGCAATGAACGCATATGATTTCTTTCATGAATTGTCAACTAATCTTTTGTAGTTATATTCAAAAATTGATAATGACAAAGAAATCAATTTATTATTGTCGACCACATAAGACTTGAGAGGAATAATTGGTGAAAACTACTCGGCATTATACATGTAACTATATTATTGGACAGCTTTCACATGAAGCAAGATATAAAATGGTAACAACCACAGTACCAGACAATGTACAGACAATTGGTTGTAACAACCTCTATTGTCAACAAGTTAACACAAATGAGTACAGATGCAACAACTATTGTTAACAAGGTAATACTAATTGGTGCAGATGCAATCATTTTTGTAACCAAGGTAACATTAATGGGTAACTCGATTTTCCACGATCTACATGTACAATGCCTTATGCCGGTCGTAGGCAGCTTGTAAAAAGACTACATCACTGGGATAATTTGCAATGAATCCAGGAATCGTCGCCCTCGTGTGACGACGTGTCGTAAGCATTTCGCAATGCGTCTTCCACATTTGCGCAGCGGGTGACTAACCGCTATGGAAATGGCTAGAAATCCATTGTTGATCAAAATTATGTTAACATTGACCCGGAAACAGTTCGAACATGTCAGCATGACGCTGACTGAAAAGAGCATAGTAACGCATGCATTCGCCCAGAGGATTTTGTCATTTGGTTATTGAACAGGGTATTAACAATATACTTTTTGTCACATAAAATAGAGGCTGATAAACGTAAAAAAAAGTAATATGTTTATCTTTCAGTAGTCAAAAAGCAATTCCTACTTTCATGGCAGTATTGATTTAAACATGTAAAATACATCGAAGAACTAAGTACGAAGAGAGAATACTTTCAGATATTTCACGTGCACTCGATGCACGGTGCCAGCCTTCCACGTCATTGATTGATGGTAAGAACTCCCTGTTGCGCAAACACACATTGTGTTAACATTGTAAAATGCTGAGAGACGACGTGTTACGTAAACTTAATGGTGAATGAAATGGCATTTGCTGTTCATACAATTTTCATTTTGAGAAATGATATTTGATCAAAGATGAACGTAACACACACATGTGAGTGCACCTTTAAGAATTCAGTAACAGATAAAGTATGCTGAAACCTAAGTTCACTGTATCATACAGCTGTTCATCAATCTAGGATAGTGCTCATCAGTAATGCTAGGGGTCAAAACGTTTGCAATTTGAATTGGTCTTAATTAACGTTGAAACAGGATGGAAGGGGCGTAAAACCCATAATTTTAAGAATTTTAAAACTTAGAGAAGTACTGGTTTATTTAAGCGTTGAACTGTTACCAGATCAATGCCTATATTTACATTTACATTTATATAGTTTGTTTTGTATAGTAACTGACGCAAAAATACGTTTGAATTTCCCGCTTATCATATCAGTGACGTCAGTAAGTTCAAATCCCAGAACAGCCGAATTTTCTATAAGAAATAATATAATCCCTCGTGTCATTGCAAACCACACGCATATAAAATGGTTTGAACACAAATTAATTTTATTATTTATTTCATATGAGTGGGTTTATGTTGAAAAAGTTGTTAATAATTGCATAACTTCTGCTTGTTTAAAATTAAAGCTGTTTTTCGCGCATTGATAAATTACATGTATTTGGAAGTGATGCGGTGCTTAACGGACTTGATTGTTTCCTCGGAAAAGCTTATGTTTCTATCGACTGGAATATAACGTTATTTTCAGAAGCATATATACTCGGAAATTTTTAAATAAGTTTCAGTAGGTGATAACAATTCCAAAGAAATTTCTTTTAAAACATATTCCATGTCTTATCAGTCAGATTAGCATCGCTAGCAGACGACGTTCACAGGTGCTCTGTTTCGTGATTTTGAGTAATGGATAACATCACTGAAGAACCACAACACTTGAAAAGGTATCTATACTCATTCTAAAACCTTGTCGATACACTCGACTTTTACAAGGTTTTATAAATGCTGAATTTTAGTGCTGTGGTTATTCACTGATGTTATGCAAAACTAAAAATCTCGAAACCGAGCCCCTGTGTGATGACGTTGACAAACTTGGTAATTTCGTATCTAGATTGGCGCTTACAATAATTTTGTGGTACCTACACATAATAAATTTATATTTTTTCAATTTGTTAAGTTGCTTTAATTTTTGCGATGACCTACATTGCTAAATGCTAACGAACCCAGAAAGTTCTCTGACTATAGGCCTATTGATATCGGATGTCACATCGGCCATGTTTGTTTACCTTGTACCAGCTGTATTCCTACACTGGCCGTATCACTGTAAATTGTAGTATACAGTCTCATATACTGCAATTTGGTTTACTAACGACATATAGGCAAATGCAATACAGAATGTAAATATTCCAAATTAAATAATGACTAAAGTGTGTATATCATGAACCGTACCACTAACAAAAAGAGAAAACTGTGGCCATTATTTTCGTCAAACCTCGAAGACTAAGCAATCCATCAGCAGAGTCTACCACTTTATATCTTGAGAGATAAACGCAACACACACATAGATAACAACAACTTTAAAATTTAGTAATAAACAATTTGCCAAAAAATTATTACACTGCCTCACACAGCTTTTCCCTCCTTTTAGGACTCATCAGTGATGCTAGGGACAAAAACGTCGGCAACCAAATTGGTCTGGATTGATGTTCATACAGAAAGGGAAGTGAGTAAAATCCATTAAATTTAATGAAATAAATTATATTGAAAATTCGTCTCGTTGTTAAAGCAAGCATAGAACTGATATTCAGCACTTACGTTGACAGAGTTGTTGCAGATTTCCATTCCACTGTCCATTCTGCTCACAAGTCACTGTTTTTGACGGTACTGTACTGATATATCCAACGTTGCATTTGAACGTACACGCATCACCGACATTACGTTTACACGGGTCGTTGAAGTTTCCATTAGATATGGCTGATGGACAACGTGTTACTGTAACAAAAGATTGTGTCAACCTAAATGTATCGTTTACTATTGCATTTTCATAACAAAAGCTTTAGCAGACATGCAGTTACTCTACGTGTATGCATAACATTTGTAAGCATTGTTTTGTTCGGTATACATTACAAATGTACAATATGTACAAACATCAACAACAACAACTGTTGTCGCAACCAATCAAAATATACCACTTAATGTATACATTTCTAAGAAAAAGATGCTTGCCTCCTTCACACGTGTAAGGATCGTCCGACTTTAGGTCTGTTCCATCCTGACATGCGCAGTATGATGATGAAATTGACGCTTTTGGCAGACAAAAGGTACTACATCCACCATTGTTGCTTGAACACACGGACTTTCCTAATAATGAAAATTGTTGCATGAGGGAAAAAAGTTAAACATAATAAAAAAGCAAAACAAGTTTTCAGAGCTTTTTTGTTGTTCCTAAGTGACTTTCACTTCAACCTATCGTAACTAAGGAAGCGCCGACATTTTAGTTTGTGTTTGTTCGATGGCGGATAAGGGCTGATTTGGATATAAAAGCACATTACATGTACTTATCATCCTTGTGCAGATCGTTTTCTCATTAAATGCATCATACATCCTGATCGGCACCCAATTCAAGAAAAAAAAATCTTAACTCGCAAATTGGACACGCCGGGAAGTGGTTGTTACCTGCCGGATATTTCAGAAATTTTGCATCCACAAATGAGTCATATAACACTTAAAACAGCTTAAAACTATCCTTCCGTTTACATGCATAGAAGTAAAAATAGACTGTTTTGATGATAATAATTGGAATAAGTATTGTTTTCACATAGGATATGAAAACTCACACTCCTCATTGTTATAATATATTTGCGGTTTATCTATAATGCAAGTATTTTTTGCCGGCAATACTTATATATATATATAAAGATGTGTCACTTGTTCAAGAGTATATAGCTGGTAATGCACGAAAAATACAGGAAGGCCAATATTCGAAACCAAACGAACACAAACTCAAATATCGGAGCTTTGCAAGAAAAGATAGCCACAGGAGATCACCTCAAAATATAACTTTATTTTCATTTGTTTCATTAACGTGCACTGTCAGTTTAAAGTTTAGCATATCTAACGGGTACATACACGCAATGAATTTATGATACATTAAAATTTAAATATTTGATTTGTAAAATGTCAGTTTTTAAACGAGAATACAATCACAAAAATTTGACGGGATTAAATAATACTAAACCTGGATCTTCTTGTCCTGGGTACACAAATAAATTTAATATGAATCCTAATTCGGCGCTGTCCATCATAAAAGAAACTTCTGTTTCAGTCTGTAGATCCATTTTTACCACTTTCCTGAATGATGTATATGAAATAAAGTGGGAATGAGTGGTGCATTGAACACAAATATCCTGATTCATGTAAAATATGTAGACGTTATTCCGAAAAATCACAGGACATCAGATGAACTGATAATGTTAAGAGAAGAAAATGCTTTAATACTGTTTCCTGAATTAACAATTGCAATATATCTTTGAAAGTACGCTATACATTTTATATTTGTCAAGTTACTTTTAAATTTACACTTAATTTATGAAAAAAAAGTTTCTGACCTAATCTTCTTTGGTAGGTACAGCCCATAATTATGTCATAATATGGAAACATTTTATATTAGAAATATTTAATAATCTGTAAGTGTATTCTGTAAGTTATCGTGTTTTAGCGAGTATCTTATCCTCGTTACATTAGCTACAACATGCTATCATGAAATATAAAAATCGTTCAATTTATTTCCATTGTATGAATAGGTATAACCTCCCTTGCACGGTAACCTCACATTCGATGCTCAGCTGAATCGAATAGCGAATGAAAATAACATGACTTAATACAATTGTCAGTAATACAATTGACATACACTGTCTATTGTGTGTTTGAAACAATAACAGGCTTGTTTTACGCTGTAAAGATGGCTATGCTAAGTTACGTAACAGTTAACAATAAGAACAGAAATCCAAGACAACATTATCTGTTTTTAAAAAGCTACACATTACAAGCCGGTTGAACAACTTTTTAATGATATCCTTGTGAAAAGACATAGGGATTTATGCTGCCGAAATTGGCAACTCGGCAGCTATGATGACGTTTTCACCATGTAAACTGTGCCAGTGTCTCGATCGTGACATATTTCTAGACTGTATAGTGTATGTATCTGATTTGACGTGTGTACCGTACCCTTTGTGTACCGGATACCTCGTGTACTGTTAAAAGAGCTATGGTGGAACACTGCCCGCATTTTTGAAAACAGAAAAAAGTATTGATGAGTAAATAATTTTTAGTAGCAAAAATGAATGGAATAGATATAAAACCAACTGGATATGAATTTTTGAACTGTTCGGTATTGTTAAGATAATTCTGCAAATATAGCAAAATTCACTATTTCTATGAAAGTGACGGGGTTTCCCAGACTTAAAAAAAATCTTTCAATACTTTCCCATCCGAGGACCGACTTTTTTTTTGATTCCGTGATGTAATATGCAAAAACAAATCGTATGACGGAAAAGTGGTCCTCTTTTGGGAAAGTGCTCAAAATAATGAAAAACAGGGTTGATCAAGTTTCTCAAAACTGCGACATATGTTTCCTGGGTTAAAACAGTTTGTATTTCAATCTTCGTCTATGTCCGATGTAGCCTAATGTGTAACGCAGTTAGTTTGTGACCAAAAGAGGTGAACGGTTTAGGTTCGAAACCATGTTAAGATCATTTTTCTTAATTAAGTGATAACTATTTTTCAAATCAATGGAACATTTTATTGATATTCTAATAACATACCGATTGTTTTATCTTCTATATGATCATGTCAACAAATCCATGTACGCGTGTACATTACAGCTACGCTTTGTAGTTAAGACATCATTTCAAATGATATTTAAGAATTGTTTCACCCTCCAATTGGTACTAGTATTTTTATTTATTATTTAAACATCAATAAATGATGCCCAAATCCAAAATATATGGGATTGTTGCGTCAGAATAAAAAAATGCAAAGCAAAAACAACAAGAGTACCACGGGGCGGAACAAAATACACCCGTCGAATGCCATATAGTGTTATATACTTTCTCACATTGAAATAAGATCTGCATCATTCTAAGAGTGGCTAGCTGACATGCTATAGAAAATGTAGGAGAAAATCTTCGGACAAAAAAACAAATACTGAAATGAACAAAGGGCAATAACTTTTTGCAAACGTTGCCGAATCAAAATTCTTTTAGGGGAGACACAACTTCATATCATGATTATAATGTATATCAAGTTTCAAAGAGATCTGTAGAAAATGTAGGAGGAGATTGCCGGACAAAAATCAAATACTGAAATGAACAAAGGGCAATAACTTTTGGAAAAATTGTCGAATCAAAATTCTTTCAAGGGAGACACAAGTTATACTGTTATTATCGCAAAGATATTACCGAACATGCGGGAAAATTCATCGTCGAGGACAGTCTCATTTGTTTTAAATGCAGGACGACTGCAGCACATAGTGGGGAGCGCAATACACGTGTAAGACATGCTATTCGAAAACTATATTTAATTTTACCATTCCAAGGTGCCGGAAGAACAAAATCAAGATGTGTGGTTATTAAGAAAACAAGTAACGGCATGACGAAAGCAGTTGTAATGAAAACTAAATCCTTTGAAACATGTTGGTAATGATTGTACGATCTTGTGTTTCAGAAAGCATAACGCGAAATAGGCATTTTGTTGAGTCTTTATCGTGAAACGCATGTATTTTAAAATACCCATGGCCTTAAATTCGTCTGTTTACAATAATCTATTTTAGACACGGGATTCCGATAGAGCTTCCTGTATACAAATACCTGAACACGCGTCATAATAGTGCACGGTTGGACGCGCACACTGACGGATCATAGCATTGGGGAAATAGGCATAGCAACCCGCCATAACTATTTGGATTATGCTAAAATAACCTGTTACATGGTATATCAATATTTCAATATAAGTGAATGTATCTTACATTAAATGTCTCATAATATGTTAGCATAATATATCATTGTCATTAAGCATATTCTGTGTCAAATAGACTCTTGTAGGTATATTCTTGATCAAATATATCATTGTGAGTATATTCGTTATAGAATATTTCATAGTGAGTGACTTATGTCTATATCAACTTTCCCAACATNGGACCCACGTGTGATTCTACTTACTCCTGTAGTCAATAGTAAGGCTAGTGAGGAAATCATCGGTATCCAGGGTAATGATGACACTTGGCAACGTTCCGTCCATTGAAACTCGAACAATGTTTAAGAATGTCTCATTTTTATCGTGGTGTGTGTAGAACAACAATCTGTAGTAAGGAGATTGAGATGTTATCCAGGCAGTATCAATGTAGTATATATACACAACATACGATGAATTACAGACAAGTTATGCATAAATTACATTGGCTTATATTTTGATGTTTATTTTTGTGACATATTTTTAATCGAACTTTTTTTTTAATTTAATTTCAAAATGGTTGTTAAGGTGCGAACCTTGAAACATGACACTCGAAGACAATTGGAGCTTTTGTCATTTAACACAGCACATGAGTTTATATTGTAAACTAATGCAGTTAAAAAATCATAGTAAAAATTAACAAGAAGAATTAAAATAAGACAAATTTAAATTCAATAGATTATATCATAAAAAGTACTTTTTGATTAGAAAACAAATTAAAAATAACAATTGGTTCAAAACTTAAATCACTGTTAAATATTTGTGATGCCGGTTTTGATTACTTATCCAATTTCTCGATATTAAAAAAAAAGAGTATCATCCTTTGTTTAGAACTGTGAACGATACTTTGTATTTCTATTTATGGAAATAGCAATTTGTATTAACCACCCGGTACTGGCACCATTGCCGGTGTATCATTTTATACAGTAAATAAGTAGCTCACAATTTGCAATATCGGATGGGTGGCTTTCCGGTTTTACTTGCTACATTTTAACAATAAAACAATCTATATATTTTTGGTATATCATAATAGAAACTTACCCCTTCGATGGGTACAGAGCTAGTCCGTATACAATATTCAAATTGTCTACCAACGTTCTGACCAACCCTGAAGACGGTTGGAGTACACCAACACTGCCAGGCGATATCGTGTCTGCCTCACCTGATACTGTATAATATAGGTTACCAGAAGAATTGTCCACGGCCAGTGCAGTTGGATATGAGTCAATACCTGTACATAAATTTTGAAAAGAAGTTTGCCATTTATTTCGTAGTCGGGGAATTATGCCCTCGCATGCGCAACAACTAAGAACATATTAAGGAATCACTGCGAGAACGAAGAGAGAGAGAGAGAGAGAGAGAGAGAGAGAGAGAGAGAGAGAGAGAGGGGGGGGGTATGGAGGGGGGTCAAAAGTGCTTCAAAGGGCGAAGCAGCAAAACAGTTTTAATGCTCTCCCTTACGAACTTGTAGCAGGAAGATTTTAAATTTTAAAGATAACAGATGTTTAACCAAAATCTGCAGATAATAATAATGTAGCGGGAAAGGAACCTAAACACTCGTCTTTCGTCACTCAAAATGCCTTTAATTGACTGAACTTGCAGATACCAAACTCTGCAAGCTTATTCAAATGTTATTTGCTTGGCAGCGCAGGTTTGTTTTCTGTAAATGTAGAACTAAGTATACGATACTAAACATACTTGCATCTATGCACGCGTCGTTCTTTTTCAAGTTATAGGAGCATCAATGCAAACTTTATTCTTACCTTTTGCGGTGAAAATCATATCTACATTTCTACCACTGAGAGTAGATTTCATAATGCTGGCGTCATTTAAATCGCTCCAAAATACAAAAGATGTCTTCGGATCATACACCGCATGAACTGGTTTCTCAACGATATCGATATCCAAGGCTGTAATATGTGCATCCGTTGTAGATATTTGAAATAATTTTCCGTGAGAAAAATCGGGCACCAGTAGGAAGTTGGAAGATTGTGGAACTGAAAAAAGTAGAACAGAGTACGATAACTTTATCACAAATTTTCATTATTTTAGGTCTCAACATTCAAATAATTGTTTAAAAATTGAAGCTTATCTATATTTATAATCGAGTTCTATTCACATCATTAAAATATTAGTATTTGATATGGCAAATGTCTACAAAGTTTAAAACAAAGTATCTACCACTGCTACAACTTTCCCCATCAGTTTGAAGAGTCAATCCGTATGAGCATGCACAAACAGCACTTCCGCTTATACCCGTCATGCAAAGTTGTTCACATCCTCCATTCATGTGAAAGCATGGACCTAAAATACAGTAGTCATTTAATTTCGGACAATAAAGCATGCAAAAGGTATATTGTAGTAGCTGTTGTATCTCTGAATATTTTTTCTTTACGAATATCAAGAACAAACTAGATGACACATTTTGAAAAATAGTTAAATATCAGGACATATTCCACGTCAGTAATTGTATATCATTATTGTAGATAAGATTATTGCACGTTAGAATGTGATAAATGTTTCAACATTGATACTAAGTAATCTTAATCAATTAACATTCACCGTTTGAAGGTCTTTGTAGTGCTTCATCATACACTGCCAGTGCACTGATCATTCCTAAGTTGATTGTTAAGTTGGTCGTTTTTAGGTCGTTTGTTTGCAGAGCAAAAGTATACACCTTTGAACTAGTAGTGTCCGACCAGATTGCATATCTCTAAAAAAACAAATGCATGTTTTTTTTGTAGTATACATTTGATGCGATAACATAACAACATGTTAAATATATCTATTAATAATAAAATTATAAAAGAAAATTAGAATAAGAATAAAACATATAATATGAAGAAAGGACAAGGTTAAGGCACATTCATTGTTTATAATATGGGATATGAACATTACCAGTAACATGCGTCACGTCACTTTACATCTCAAGAGAGTATTATTTTTACGGTAAGGATATGACTTGAACTGCGTTAATCGCAGTAAAAACCAAACTAGATTGCGTACCTTGTATATGATAAGTTGGTCAACAGATTGAAGATTGTTGTAATACACATGGGTATCATTGCCGTCTCGTGTGGTGCTGTAAAGGTTGTCGGATTGAACAAAGTACAACCTGAATGTCAAATAACACGAACAAAAAAATGTACACAAACACATTACAAAATATGAAAAGAGATTGGTATTCGAGAAAAGTGAATGTCATTAAACATGATCTCCTCAACTTTACTTCAATTGCTTTGTCATTTCCATTTCAAAGATTTCAATAATTACAATCGTTAATTATATAGTTGAGTAAGTTTAAATACATGTCACTTGTCACATCAAAGAATATGTCTTTTATAAAGGCAGGCGATGGCTGGTCGAACACCACGGATGTAGCTTTGCTCACAAGGGACATTGATACGATACTCATTGTATAGCCACTCGTTCCCTCCACCCAGAAAAGTGTCCTGAAACATAAAAAATGTATTCAAATATTATTCTTCACCTAAAATCTTTCAGATTACGAATATAATAAATTGTTAATACGCATAGGTCACAGGGAAGCAAACATTTATATATATATATATCAGCAGTGGCTGTTTAAGAGTTTATATCTGTCTTATTGAATATCAATGAATTTGAATAATGCCAGACCTAGTGTGTGGGTCTATAGTTAGATGTGAGGGAGGTGAAGTGACATGTAAGAGTTCCTTGGCAGTAGCTGTTGCGATGGTTAAGTATTTCAATTTGCCCGTCGTTGATTCTGACCAATACAGGTTTCTATCTGTCCAGTCAAAAGCAATTCCTACAACAAAAAGTATATTTTTGGTGTACAACCTCAAATTAATTCCTTAAAATCGTGATATAAAGCTTACTTTGAAAATTAGGTTCTGGAGATAAACCTTGAGATTCTTGCAGTCAAATATATTAGGATGGAATATTATGTTCTTTTTCAACTTTATTTTACTTTCTGCAACAACATATTAAAATTTCAAAAAGGTGCATATGTCTTTGCATTCAAGTTATCTCATTCATCCCACTTCCTAGAACAGTTGGAACTTTCTTATACAAATTACAGACACACAAGATAATATCCTTGACTTAATCACTACATTTATAACATGTAGGTTTGAAAATTTGATCTTAGGTTACTTTTTAGTTATGATGTTTTTGATAAAATCAATACGTTCTCAAAGTACATAAAACTTTGTACTAATCAAAATATATATAAATATACATTTACCTGACACTGTGGTAACCGGTATAATCTGACGGATTGTATGTGTAGCTAAATTGTACTCTCTGATGTAGTTAGATGTAGTATCAACGTAGTAAATAAGTTTGTTACCGGCGTCGACTGCCAGATGCTTACAACCTTGTACAGCGTTTCCAGCACAGAGAAGAGGGTCACCGTGGCCTGTTACTGTACGGACACTCAGCATACAGATATGGGTGGCGTTAGAAACCACTATTCCTTTATGGTAAAGTGAGTGGTTTTCTGGAACAAATGTTACTATGTTGACTATCCACTAATTTTGTCAGAATTCTGTATTTGCTGTGTACGACGTTACTTGCAACCAAAGGCGGATTTATTAACGTGATTTCTTTATGATATGGCTGATTCAAATCACAAGTTCACACTCTACACATGCTTACAACGCCGATTCTCTCTCGGAGAAGTGATATCATGTATGGGTATAAGAAAGACACTGCTATAAGATTCCTCTACTTTATTTACTTTGTTAAACGTAATTCGCTAAATTAACTATATTCAAACGTTTGCCTTAGCTTTGATTTCACAGAGTACATACACTATCAACTATGTGTTAGTCCGCAGATTATTAGATATCTGCAGACTAACTATCTCGTCCATTTCCGTATCTTCCTTGTGAAAATGATCGAGCGAATCAAGGGAGAGGTAGGAGAGGTTGTACTAACCTGATCCCTCCTTGTCATTAGCAATCATAAGACAGAGATGCTGCTAAAACTTACAGAGTAAAAACGTGTTCGGAGCTTCCAGTGTTAGAATAGTGCTTATTTACAAAAGGTAAAAGCGTGCTTTCATTTGCTTTCAATCAGACTTACTTCCTTAGGCGTAAGTCTTCTGAATTAGACCTGTATGATTTACCATCAATAATATAACATATTCCTTATGTAAATAAATATATAAAAGCCTATACATATTTGCTTCACTGGAAAGAATCGATTATGATTCAAATATCACAAACATATCATACTAATAAATCAAGCAGACACACATACACCAATGTGAATCAATTGAATAATCATTTGCATTTAATTAGCACCACATAAACATATAACTCGAAGCGTAAAATCAGCCTAAAGATACTATCACCTTCATAGTTATCCAGCCTTATTGCAGTTATGATAACCACATCCACAATAATAAAATTCATTATCACTAACGCGTTTGTTACCTGTGCAGTGCCTGCCGTCTGTATCCAAAGTGTATCCCTCCTTACACATACATTTACCGTCAGATTGAACGTTCACACATAAATGTTCACATCCCAATGTCGGACAACTATCTTTAAGAAAGAAAAACAAAATACATATCTTATCAAAGCTAAATTATACAGATCTATTTTGGCAATACAGATTAGATCACAGGCTTACACTTAAGAATAAAACGTATACGTTTGACCAACGTAAGAGTTGGTTACTTATTCAATATTAGACTTGACCAATATTGGGCTAGTTTGATATTCAAATCTTAAAAACATAATTAGCTGTTGGCACTCTTATGCCCCCTTTTAACACCTATACTACAGTTGTGGGAACGCGCAACGCACCAAAAATACCTGTGCGATTTAACAATCGTTCGCCCCGTTGTGCACTTCTCTCCGCACATCTGTGCGATATGGTGCAATTTGTTGATCAATATCACGGAATGGAAAAAATACGGAATGTTCGTATGCAATAATGTACACTGTACATATCACTGTAATTTTTCATAACTATAATCAGAGACGTATACGTCTCTGCTATACTTAAGAGTATGTACAAGTTTACAGTGCGTGTAATACAGTATACAATGACCGTTAGACTCTCAAGAATGGGTTTGGCTCCTCGGTAACAGAACAGGTAAATAACAATTTGATGAGTGACCGGAGTTTTACCTGGCCTGTACTTGACACATAGAGCTGATATATGATACCGTATGATCATTATGAAAACTCAACTGGACATTTGATATTTGTTATTTGCATTCGTTTTGGTCTATAGCTCCCCTTCATCTGATTTTCACACCTTGGCGAGTTACGTAAGTGCCCCGGTCGATGTAAACTACGGTCCAGGTACAAAGTTGCAATGTTTACCTGTGTAGCCGATACCGTGATGTCCATTTACACGTGTCGATTAAGGTCGTTTAAAAAACAAAACACCATTTTGCATACGTTTTGGTCTATAGCTCCCCTTCATCTGATTTTCACACCTTGGCGAGTTACGTAAGTGCCCCGGTCGATGTAAACTACGGTCCAGGTACAAAGTTGCAATGTTTCCCTGTGTAGCCGATACCGTGATGTACATTTACACGTGTCGATTAAGGTCGTTTAAAAAACAAAACACCATTTCTAAATTTGAGAAAGTATAGACAGAAAGTTAAGCTTATAGATGTAGCTATAGTATAGAAACATACTAAAAAATCTAATTTTATGTTCAAACACGAAACCGTATATATTGTCAAGGCATTCCTCAATTTACACCAACCACGATTGTTATCGCCCAACGTTCGTCGATCGTCCGCACAAATTTGTTATGGTTCGCACTTCGTGCACACATCGTGCGCACACCGCACATCGTGTAACGTTGTGCGATCCCACAACTGTACAATATGTCAATGTCTAAGGTGTTGATATACAAACGGGCATTAACGAAACTCTCGGCTAAAGATGCCCTGTGGGCATTTTTTCGAATTTCAGTCCCGATCCATTTTTTCCCAACGTGCCAGGACACACTGTTAGAACTCTTTTGTCGCTTTTTAACACTTATAATACAACATGTCAATGTCTAATGAATTCAGTTGTAAAAGGGCATCAACGAACCCCCAGGCTAATTATGCTCTCTTTGTACTTAACCTAATGTCAATGTAAATATAGCATTATTGTTTTCATTCTAGAGTGGGTGTTAAAATGCGCCATAACAGTCCGTTACAATGTGCACGTTGAAAACAAGAGTAATTGTTAAAGACTGAAACTAAAAAAAAGCGCACATTGGACATCATTAGTCTGGGGTATCGGTAATGGTCTACTTCATGTAATTCCTTAGACTATGACATGTTGTAGTATAGGTGTCCAAATCGCCATCAGTGTTCTAATTGTCTTAGCTTGTAAGTATCTCAAAGCATGTATTTTTTTTTATCTTTCTAGAACCTTCAAGCAGGAAAAGATAAAATGTAATTATCTGGCTAATTGAATTAACAGTTAAGCGAGGAACCGTTTAATGACATTCAAAATAGTTTTTCTGTTGCTTTTGTATTTATTTTAAAATATTGTTCAAAAGACTGTATCATACTCAACGCTAAATAAATATTTTCAAAAGGAAATGCATTCTAAACAACACTTCTCAAGTTATTTCTCTAGATATTTTAGTTCATCCTCGGCAACAAGATTCTGACACGATTTCCTATTAAATTATTTATTTTTCGTTTACATGTATCATATAAACCATGTAAACATACCTGTAATGAAAGGCCTCAGTTCGTCCTTAGAGATGGCAATAATGTTTGGAGACGCTGTTAAGAACTCGTTTGAACGAAGTAAACCAATGCTACCCGTTGATTTGGAAATACAATACCACAGTTTCTTGCCATATACAGTAATGCAGACATCTTCCTGAAACAAAAACGAAAATATTCTGCACTAAAGCGATTGATTGAAAAACAAAGAATGAATGAACATTTCGAAAAATAGCTTTCCTATGTGATTAAGTTTGATGCTCGGTCACATACTGGAACAGTGCTATCTGCAAAATAGAAAATAATAAGATTTTTATTTGTTAATCAATTAGATTTTGAAAATCATAACCACATTGTGTTGAATAATTTTTGGCTGCAAACGTTGTATTACAGGTGCGAAGGCAAAATCTCAGAGTGTTTCTTTAATAAAATACTCCGACTTGTAATGGTAGTTTACCTATCTCAGTTACCGAATATGATTATGTCCTTTTCCAGTGGAGTAATCACACATGCACGGGTTTCTGTTAGACACAATAGATGACGTGTGTAAGCCAAACTAACTGTACAGGTATACACTATGAACCTCCGCCTGTATTGTGTTTAGTAGACACACAGTAGTGGTTCCCGCTTCATCTCTTCAAATTAGTTACAATGGAATCGTCAGATGTTGTGTATTTTGACTTCATCAAAAGTAAAAACATAATCCTGTTTGTGTACCAACTCCCTGATTTTAAAGGAGGATTCCACATTAGGGTGATGACCATTCAAACTCCGATGATAGCAGCTTAGTAAAGCTACGATCTAGAGCGACTATTGTTAAATATAAAATATTCACCTGTGAGGAGAAAGGACATAGCATGCTCTCATCTGCTGTTGTGAAAGCTCTATTCAACCGAATCAAACATTAAATTTATCACTGAAAACCGTTTGTTACTGGAAATCTAACAATGTAAAAAAAGCGTATTGGGTTACTTAATGAAGGTAATACGGTGTTGCAGAGCAAAATTAGGACAGTACACTTGATACTGTCATTCTATCATAGAAATATCGCTAAATAGTGATATGCTTAAACTTCAATGTTGACTCTGATTACCGTATCAACAGCAATTGAACGGAAATTGCTATTCAGCTGCCTGTAAATAATCTTTCTGTCTGTTCCGTCATATTGAGAAGACTCTATGGCGTTTCTTAGAGCATCTGTCCAGTACAGCCTCCGTTCACCAGCGTCTATCTCGATATCTTCTACGCTCAACAGACTAGTGGTTATGATTGGCACTCGGACCGTTCCATCAAGCAGCGCTCGTTCTATCCGGTAGCCAGATGGGGATATATCAAACCAAAATATATATCTAAAAGAAAAGAAGTTCATAATGTTACATTTACATTTGATATGCATCGCAATGATATAAGCATACATATCAAGCTCTGTATTATGATATACATATAAAATGATGATCGTGATGTCAATATAATTGTGACGTTTCTATCATAAATTGTGTTTACCTGGCCGACGCTGGATATTTGTTACATTTATACAAAATCTATCTTATATCTGTAGAAGAAATATGAAATTTAGATAAGATATTTACGATCATTAAAACAAAAAAGCATCTAACTGCGTGCTGTTCAAAGAAATATATAAATCTTAACAGGATTGCAGACAAATAATATGATGCATAAATATGTCAAGGAAACAAAACAGTTTACTAGTGTATTCAGTAATATGTGTCAATCTTACCCTGCTTTCGAATCTACCGCCACTGCCCTCGGTTTTTCTATGTCGTCCTGGATTATGACCCTGTACATACTTTTGTCGGTGGTGCTAACAGGCTGAACTGCTATCCAGTTAAAGAAACCATCGGACCAGTATATGTTTCCACCGATCCAGTCATAGGCTATAGAGGAGTACACTGAACTGGACACCCCGCAGTGGACATTGTCCACTTTGCTGGAATGAAGGCGATAGATACATCGATAAGTGATGTCAAAGAAATAAACTGATCCGTCGGCTGTATTGACGTCCATGCTCCTGATTTTGACGTTACTCATTGTCGTTTGGGTGACATTAACAGCGGATGAACCTCTGATGCTGATACTATCGCCTTTGTAAACGTAAATACCGCTAGGAGTAAACAAACCTTGGTCAACGGAAACCAAAATGGATGGATCTACAAAAGAAAAGAAAAATCATACATTATATATCATCTTCATTGTACGTAAAATACAGATTAAGAAATGATATACCTTTTAGTGGACAGCGAAGAAAATGTTAGAAACAAAATCAATTTCTTTCTATGGTAGAAGCTGCGTGACAGAAATATGTTGAGTGTCGGTGTCTTAGGTAATGCTCATAATTGTGACTGGTTGTTTCGTTGTCTATGCCACGGTTTTCGCTTTGAGTCCATGACCATTCTTGGATTCGACCTAAATTTAGTGTAGTAGATGGAACAAAAAACGCCTACCCCTTTGGAAGATTAGGTCTTATTTTTTCTCATTCTTTCAGTGGTTCTTTGTCATATTTTTCCTTTGGTTTTTTTATTGATTTTGAAGTCGAATCGCAGTTTTGTTGACAGTTCTGTATTCTCTCATATAGTTGCAGATAATGTTTTTTGTTCTATTTAGGTTTTCATGAAAGGTAAGTATTATCAAAGCTAAGATATCTGGTCAAGGCAGGTGAGCACTGTTTACATTAAATTCCAATCTTTATATCATGCGTTCGCACATAACAATATTATCATTTATATAGAAATTAAAGAGTGGATGAAAAATTTCAAAGAAACAAAAGATAAAATTGATTATGCTTCATACAACACTCCGTACAAAATATATAAGAATAGTTCTCCCCAGAATCGACACCTATATTTTTTACACACATTCCTTTTTTAACGTTTCCATTTCCACCTGAAAAGGAGTTTACATACCGTGAAATCACCTTTAATGGCAATCTGATTAAAATCATCTGTTACATGGCTCCGCCTGAACATCTGAATGTGCTGCGGTCAGGGTCACGTTCAAGTGACCTTTAATTGAACCAATCAGAGGCGCGCTGGCAAAAGTTTGCCAGCGAACGGGAATATCATGGTTGATAGATAAATACCGAGGGGTATCGAACAGATTAGTTTTTTACAAAACAAATATGGCGGCAGGAACTGAAGTTTCTACGACGCCAAGGAAAACGTACCAATTGGGTAATAATTGCGTAGGCAACACCGCCATACAGTCTTTCTTCTCTAATAAAGCTTCGAATATCTTTTTCTGTTCCAGTTTCAGATTATTCAATCTCAAATAACTTTTGCATCATTCTCATCAATGTCCGCCATATTTGTTTCAACTCCGAGCGCCCTTTTGAAAGAGGGTTTCTGATTGGTCAAAATTTAATGTATATTTATGAATATAAAGGTCACCTGAACGTGACCCTGACCGCGGCACACTCAGATGTTCAGGCGTAGTACGAAGTTAACGAAGCCATGTAACATATGATTTTAATCAGATTGCTTTAATGGTTACTTAAATATGACAATCGCTTGCAAGGGTACAATGACATATCCACTATATTATTGGGGAACAGAAATGTACTGCCCTTATTTATGTTATTCGTCAGTCTTGATGAGAAAAGCCTGCACAACTGTTTAGCGACGTTAAAATACAGGGCCTTTTAAAGATCGATATGTGTGCAAACCTATCATAGTTGTCCGTAAATGTATGCGTTTTGAAAAAAAATGCCCATTGATAACAGATGTGCTCGTTTACACAAAATATACTGAACACACGCTAATTGTGTAATTTAAATCCCACTGCTGTTTTTATAAATATGATATATTTTTATCTTCCGTGTTAGTAATGGTCCGCATTCAATTTAGCTGATTCAAGTCTATTAATAGTACAAATGTTTGCTTAGGATATCGGTATCGACTTGATTTTATTTCTAGTGTGGTTGGCTCTACTAGTGAAATGTCTGGTCCTGAGGTCAAACGTAGCCCCGAGGCTGTTATTTATGTGTACACGGTTTACATGAAATACAATGTACTGATATACAGAAAACTATCTTTTGCATCGAAGAGTAGCTTATTACGTTTTAAAACATTTCAAAAGCACCTTTTCCCCTTTTTCATTTAAAACATATATTTTTGGACACTTTATATGTGATTTTGCATTTTTTTTGTCTTAAGCAGCACTAACAAAACTTACATAGACGGAAGCTTAAGACAATAAAATTCAATAGAAATGTTTACTTTGTCTCCCTCTAATACAATTGAACAATGAATGCTTAATCCGGTTTTTTAAGTGATTATAATTGTTACTATGGAATACTACAGACTAACTTACATCTAATCATTTTGTGAATTGTTTTCACAATTCACAAAAGAAATGCTGTATTAGACTCTTGGTTTGTATGTTTAATTTGTTGTTGAGTATCATACATTATCTGAATTGAAACCACCAAACGTAAAGGGTTGAAAATGTACCACATTCATGCATCGATGACTAGCTGGCATTCTGGAAGTTTGCATTGACAATGTTTATGTATAGTAAACAAAAACCTTTTTAAATATCTATAAGATATCAGGTTAGGGACATATTTAAAAAGCCTTATTATTCCATGTCAAACTTAGCTATTTTATAATTTTATTTTGCCAGTGACAGTTTAGGTTTTATGCTCTTGATAATAACTTGGATAAGTTATAAGCTATGACATAAACCAAAAGTGATATCTGTCAACAGTTGGAAGATTTCACTTAATTTTGACCAATCAGAACGATCCTTTTTATTTATATTAGTGCAAACAAATCCAGAGAATTTTATTTTGGATACAAACTAATTGACGGTTGAATAATAGATTGTTCTGGTTCCTTTTTTGTTTCAAACAAAATTATATTCATTCAACTGCGCTGTAAGATTTGTGTAAGCAAAAAGGATCTAAATAAAGGGGTCTTAATGTGAGAGGTAACCGGAGTACCTGCAGAACACCCGCGTTTGAACCCAATAACTTTTCATGTCCGGGAGATTGAACCCGACCTTTTAGGAAGCAATGTGTCATCCACAGTGCCATTGCAGAATATACCGTCACTTCGGCTTCTCTTAATGAACAATATCGGTATTCTTTGCACTCGTTAAAAATATTCTACGACACTATTTGCATATTTTTAATATATCTGGTATAAATATCCTTTAGCTACTTGACGTACATGTACTTCGCATGCTTTCTCAAAAGTTTACCTTCTTCCCTCTTGCATGAACTTTGACCCATCCTTTAACATGAATCCACTACGGAATGCAATCGTTTGGAGCTAGACTTTTCATTACCGTATTTCCTCTCTTAAAACTGTCTTTGCAAGTTTAAAAGCATCAACAAGCTATAATAAAACATTGTTTTTGTAGGGAGACATCACATTGTAAACATTAGGTTGACCGTGCCACATGTATCCGTAAATGATAAATTCGCCAAATCTCCGTTTATTTAACATGTAGGCAAATAGGAGAATTTTACCGTACAGTAGGTATATATGTACATGTAACATCTAATACAAAAACGAAAATGAATTAGCATCCACAATATTTTAAATGTTAATCGTTCGAAACCGAGAACTTTATCTGAATGACAACATTGAAATGTTTTCGCTATTTCCTCATTTGTAAAGTACGTGTTTAAGAATTCATAACTTTAAGATTATTTATCACGTATTAAGTACAAGTGACAGAGGGCTAAATTTCGGTGTAAATTAGAATATACAATGTATCTATGGAGTTTAAAAAACATATTGATGCTGTTCAATCAGGCATATAAAAATGGGATAGTATAAATAATTACGCGTCAGGTACCAGTACTCGCAAAATTATTTCGCTACAATCGACTGTTTTAGCGCTCGTCAGAGATACATAATGACGTCATTTCTGTAACGTTGTTATACAAATAAACGCACGGCTAAAAGATAAACAAATAAAAACAGGAAAACTGATTGTGTACTAATAATGAATGTGATTAAGAGACTGACATATTTCAATCAGTGAATGATGTGAAATAAATCAAGGTTAGACAGTACAAAACAAAACAAAGTATTGCAAGGCGATTCAAAGTCCCCCACCGGTAATGATTTCCATATTTAACAAACAATACACTTATGTCAGGACGAACCTACTGTTCAAAGCAATAGTGAGGACATAGTGACTAACTTCTTGCACTCGCCATCTCAAGACATCCGTGTACAACATATCTGGTTACTCCAGGTAAAATAGCACAGAAAATATACCCCGACAAACAAAAAGGTCAAAGGTCAAGTCATATGTGACCGTGACCTAATTCTTGCACCCGTCACTCTGCCATCCCAAGATGTCCTTGTACACCAGCTCTGGTTACTCCAGTACGAAAAGTATAGAATATATGCCCCGGACAAATATTTTCAAAAGTAAAGGTCAAAGTTCAAGTCAATGTCAAAGTAACCTAATTCCTACGCTCTGTACTCCGCCAATCCAAGATGTCCATTCACACCAAATTATGTTACTCCAGGTGAAAAAGTANCCCCCCCCCCCCCCCCCCCCGTCGACAGTCGTATGTAATAAAATGTAATATGAATAAGACAATATACTTTTTTGTTCATGAGTTTATTACGTGTGCCAGCGACATTTAAATGTGCGGTATTTGAAACGTCAGCCTAATGTATATATCAATGATCTTGGCGATGACAAAGACTTTATTCTCCTAAAATGGTCACAGTGTAAAGATTTTATATACAAAACATTTTCAAAATGTTCAAAGGTACTAGTTAATACAGGTAATTATCTCAATTAAAACCTTGATGAATTTAACTATTGAAACTAACCCATTATTAGGAGGCACGGTAGTGTAGCGGTAGGACGCCGGGCTCGTGACCAAATATATATCTTGTCATATATCTATGTAACCCCGATTGTTTCATTCTACTCAGCTGTAAAAGAGTACGTGATTGAGCAGGGCTAGACATTACATATTCTTAATTTACAGAAGACATTAGTTAATCTCGGAGGGAGGTCTAACAGGTTTTTGTTTAAGAACAGGTCTTGTTTAAAAACTCTGTATTAAGATTCATATCATATAAATAGTTTTATTATTTAACATAAGGAACAGATTTTGTAGCTGTTCATTTAAAAAACAAATATGTTACCAAACAACAAACATTATTTAATGATTCAATAAACTACATAAGGGGATAACGGCCATGTAGAAAAAATCTGGCTCAAAATCGGCTTTCTGGCACACAATTTGTTTGAGGGCTTTAAAATAACAGAATTTGCGAGAAACTTAAAAAGTGTCACCGGAAAAATGTCTCCCCTAAATGTGGCCGAGACAAGATTAATAAAGCAACTTGCTGTCATGTTTCAAATTGCATTGCCTCGTTATTTTCCTAGTCATTTAGTGAATGGAGTATTTTTAGTTTCCTGCTTTTTTGTTGATGAGTTACAAACAAAGCATACACTTCAGGTGAGTTCGGCTTGAAAATATCCTTACATTCTTCCTTATGATCGAATTTCATAAGGCTCAAAGGAATTTTATTTTTGAATCTATTTTTCCGTTAAACAATTCTTGAATAATTGGTTTGCCGGTCGTGACCTCTGTGTGGCACAATTGGACGCTGAGATATGGTAATTGTGCATTGCTCACGGAATATTGTCTCGTGACGTTACCCGTGAAAAATATATTTTGTGGAAATAAACACAAAGAAATACCTTTTTCTAGTATTCACATTATATCATATTCTTATATGAAACGATGAATAATATTGAATCAAGTTGTTCATCAGGCTCAAATTCCCAAGCATACACTAAAAAAATCAATAATTGTTTTTAATCATATATTTTTTTATTAATTTCGTTTTTATTATTATAAATATGGACCACCTGCATCAATCATAAAATAGGAAAGAAATAATAACAGTCCTCTTGAAACTTTTAGTTTGATAAAATAGTGTTGGTATGTTTTGTCTATACACATTGACAAATCTCGAAGGTTGATGTAAATAAAAAACTACTTAGTGAAGTACAAAATTTAATATTATTCATATAAAACGTCGGGTTTTACTTGTTAATAATCAATCTAAAAGGAGTTCACAGAGCACGGGAGATTGCTTCTAGGGCCTAGTAAATTGTTTAGTCATCCCATATACCCTTCCTCTCCTCCGGCGCTACGCTCCTTTGACTTTCGACCCTCTGTTAGCAAACACTCCGAAAAATGATTTGCTACGCCACTGCCACCTTTCCCTGACGATATCTACGTCCATTTTGTAATAATAAATACAATGTGTGGTATACGTATGTCTTGTCCTTCTTAAGACTTTAATCGGTATTGCGAAACGTATCCCAATAGTGTAACATCGCCAGTAGACCGTTTATCATTGTGTGACTATTGATTGGTTGTATATTACAGTCGAACAAACCTGTTTCAGCCTGACAAGACGTAAACGTTATTTATATGTTAGAATCATACTTTAGAAGGGGACCATCGCTTTGACTATTTCTAGTGTCTTATGTGTTGAGGACGTTGGAGTAGTTTCAATACATATATAGATATACAATATATAAACGTTAACTTAATATAAATGAGCTAGCACTGCTTTGTACACACAATATGGCACATCAACCAATACAATTACATACAGCCATACACAAAATATTAGTTTACAAATGCAAATATATTTGTTATTTTTAAAAGAAATCCGAAAAAGAGCATTACATGTCATTAGTTCCTACCTGCACTTATCGATAGTTGTACCCATGACGACAGGTAAAATATCCACAGAAGGACCACAGCTGGACGACCCCTCGCGAACGCCATATTCAACAACCTTACAGTTCGGTATGGGGTATATTACGTCTCAACGCGGAAGTTGATTACACGCACACACGTGATACAGCACAATTTTTCATAATATAGATAGTTGTTAATAAAAGACCATTGTAATTTGGCAAAACCTTTACCTATTCAGGACTACCGCAACTAACTCAGGTGTTTCATTGGGTTGTAGTTGCCATTTGAGTTAGGTTTATATTGAATACTGACAACATGTGCTACTCTCTATCTGCACCTGATGTTAACATGAAATATAAGTCCAACTGTAAACAGTGTTATTTACGTTCAGAAAAGAAACACATTTGCATATCGGAAGACACTTAAAACAATACCCGTCAATTTTAAGTCTTTAGAAATTGATATGTACCTTATAACCTGTACCCCGTACTCTATATCTTGTTACCCGTACCCTGTACCCCGTACCCTATACCTTGTTACCTTACCCTGTATCATGTACCCAATAACATGTACTCCGTAACCTATACATTGGCACATGTACCCGTAACCTGTACCACGTACCCTATACGTTGTTACCCGGTACCTGTATCATGTACCTCATAACCCTCTACCCCATAACCCTGTACCCCATAACCCTGTACCCCGTACAATATACCTTGTTACTTTACCCTGTATCCTGTGAACATTGTTATTTACGTTCAGAAAATGAACACAGATGCATATCGGAAGACACTTAAAACAATACCCGTCCAGTTAAAATCCTTATAAATTGAAATGTTCCGGCGATATGGGCAATTACAAAAACGCTGACTGGACATCCCTAACTTATGATATACATTAATCTTATGGATGTACTCTTAAACGTGTACCACGTACCATGTACCTTGTATCCCGTACGCTGTACCTTGCTACCCGTACCATGTATCATGTACCCAATAATCTGTACCACGTACCCCATACGTTGTTACCCGTACCCTGTATTATGTACCTCTTAACCTGTACCCCGTACCCTATATACTGTTACCCGTACTTTGTACCCTGTACCCCATAATCATGTACCCCGTACCCTATACCTTGTTACCTTACCCTGTATCCTGTACCCAATAACATGTTCTCCGTAACCTATACATTGGTACATGTACCCGTACCCTGTATCATGTACCCTATACGTTGTTACCCGTATCCTGGTCCCCATAACATGTATAAGTACCCTAAACCATTTAACGTGTACCTTATACACCGTACACTGTATCATGTACCATATCACATGTACCTGATACCTGATACCCTGTAACCTGTGCATGTGCCATGTATCCCATAACCTGTAGCATGTACCCTTTACTTTGTTACGCGTACCCTGTATCATGTATTCCATAACCTATACCATGTTCCATATACCTCGTATCCCATACCCTGTATTCTATATCACATCTATCCGGTACCCTATACATATGTGATCGGATGGCGCATAGGATAACGCACACACCCTTCACAAAGGCGGCCGGGGTTCGATTTCCCGTTCGGGTGTAAAATGGTATGGGTTCACCTGCCCGGACACATGGGTTTTCTCCGGGTACTCTTGTTTCCTCCAACATTAAGACCTCAAGCGCGCTAACATGTGGACTAACAGAAATGATATATATGAGTTGTAATTTCTTATTTCATAATTGTTTTTAAAATAAAACATAAAACGTATTTTCCCTATACCTTGTTTCCATACTCGATATCCAGGAGTTACGCTCACTTTCGTTCTCTGCACCCCTGGAATATGTCATAGCAAATTGAAGGCTCGCGGTTAGCTATTTGATTGGAGTCAGCTAGGATAACCTGACCAATCAATAGGCTGTTACTGGTCCTTTGAAGATTACAGAGGAGCGACGCCCGACTTCAAAGCCAATACGTTTTACCGTTTCACAACCGCGAGATTCTTTTGATGAACATCAAATGATCAAACCAACCTTCTCGTCTCATCCACAAGGTGGTGCACACTGAGCCTTCTTTTTGCTATGATATATTCCAGGGGTGTAGAGAGCGAAAGTGAGCGTAACCCCTGGAGTATCGAGAATGCCTTTTACCCCGTATCCATACAATGTTTCATTTTCATAACATTTTCGTTTTATTTTTGTATATCACACTTAGCATTAATATCTGATGAACATTTAAACGGTCCTTATCCCTAGTACTTGAATTCCGGTTGATTAAAGCTTAGATAGATAACTGTGAGCTTTCAAAAAACAAATGTATATTAAAGTATATATAGGAGTTTCCATTTCATATAAACATATCATACACAACCTCAATGTGCTATCGACATAACAGAGAATTATGCCGCATCACGCGTGTGTGTTTTATTAACTTCCGCCTTGAAAAATAGAACATTCCAATATAAGTAGTACTGATCAGGTTATGGAATATGGTTTTGGTGAGTACCCCCCCCCCCCCCCTCCCCCGAGGATAATTTACCTGTCGTCATGGCTGTCATATTCGGTAGTTTTAATTGTTTCTAGCAACAATGTAACTCTTGTTACCTATGTATGTTAGTGTAAACAAACCTAACCATGTAAAAGATAACAAAATCAAGTTCTGGTTATTCCGTCATCTAGTTATCTTTCATCGAGGTTGTTTGTTAGTGTTCAGCGTTGCTTTATGAACTAGGGCAGACACAAGCTGTAATAGGACCCAGAAGATACCTCAACATACCCCCATTAACACGATATCTATAGCCTGTATGCATTTTCTTTGTTGTAATAAATATATGTTCATTTTTATTGAAGGGACCAGTAACACTCATAATATCTGTATTCAGTAGATAATATACCCCGACTCCCGTTGCAGTAATAAACGGAAGCCAGTTAGTGCCACATAAAGAATAAAGAAAAACAAATAGTTCGTAATTACGACATAGCTATCTCGTAATTACGACTTAATTATCTCGTTATTACGACTGGGGTATTGAAAGTTACGTCATTTGTTTGTGAGAGTAACGTCATATATTTTTTGAGAAAACGACGTAATTTTCTCACACAAACTAATGACGTAGCAATCAATACCTGCTCACAAGAGCAGATAACTCTGCAATACGAAGAGACGGAATATAACTGTTAATCTCATAAAATATGCAACCCGCAATAATTAGTTATCTCGTAATTACGACTTACTAAGGATGGTGTGGTTTTCATAGAACAGTGTGCTTTCCGTGGAACGGTTGTTGGGGTTTTTTGCTTTCATTCCTTGAAGGTGAGTACATCAATTAAGTTACACTTTTATGGATAGATTGGGGTTCACAGGCTTCAATAAGGTTGTATATAATATCGTGAACAAACTTTCAAAAGTATTCGATAGGAACACTAGTGAAAGTGTTATGGCTATATCTGTCAAGGGACAGCGTAGAATCCAAATACCACAACCATAACATATAGGCCGATGAACCAATGGGATTTGTACAATAGGCAAAAGATGTCAATAAAAGGGTGTTATATGTGTCAAAATGCAAACAATACATGTCTGAAGATACAGGTAGTACACACGTAATATAAGAATGAATACATGCCCCAAAAATAGCACATGAAACAAGAATTTTATTCAACAGGATATCATTCTAAAAATATTCTTTTGGTCTAATGGGGTTTTATGGGAGTGTTTGGCTTGAAAAATAATTCGAATTGCATCCTTAAATGCCGTGAAAAATCAAGTCACCGTTTCGAATTTTTTTTTTCTTTTTCGTTTCGATAAAGACAAAAGAGTGATGGAATTAATGCGATCATTTGTTTAAGATATTTTAAAGCATGATATTTTATAAACACTAGCCAGGTACTGCAAATATCATTGCATATTCTATTTCTCCTATGCAGTGGAACCGCTTCCGTTCAGTGACCCCGCATGCACAAGTTTACCCAGCCCCTATTCAAGAGAAATTCCAGAAGCTGATATTAGGTTTGAAGTAGACAGATTTCTAAGGGCCTCTATGTCAAATAATACCCATCGCTCTTACAATATAGGGTTAACAACATTTGAAAATTTTAGGTCTGCTAAAGCACTTAAGTGTGTGCGGCCTCCGCCAGTGGATCACATAGTCAATTTTATAGCCACGTTGTCTCTGAGGGGGTTAGCGGACACAACTGCCCGGTTATGTCACTAGCATTGGTTTTCAGTGCAAGATGTTAGGGCACGTCGACCTAACTGAAACTTTTTAGTGTTTAACATTTTACAAGGATTGAAACGATTAAAACATAGGATTGATTACGGGATTGATTACGGGAAACTAGATTACGGGAAATATACTAAGGCAAATAATCAACATTTTACCTTCTGTGTGTTTAAACAGGTACGAGTCTATTCTCTTCCAAGCAGCTTACAGTATGGTATTTTTTGTTTGTTTTTCGGGTGGGCGAGTTGTCCCTCTCTAAGGAAGGTAATCCTAGTCTAAGCTGCGCGATGTCCGGCTTCTTATTTCTGTTAGCCATTGACTATGTCATGAAGCAAACAACAAAAGAACATGAAACAGGAATCGCAGATGATCTTGCACTACTATCTTCCAAATTCCAGCATATACAGCTGAAAACAAACAAACTTCAAGAAAATGCCAGCAAGATAGGATTAAAGGTAAATACTTCCAAGACTAATGCAATGCGGATGAACACCACTAATAACAACCCAGTGAAGTTGAAAGAGAAATACCTAGAGGATGTTGATATTTTTATTTACCTAGGGGGAATAGTAACAACAAAAGGTGGTTATGACAATGACATAGACAACAGGTTCAAGAAAGCGAAAGGCCAATTCAGCAGGTTAAGAAAAATATGGAGATCATCAGTACTTTCATTCAAAACAAAGGTCAGGCTATTTAACAGCTTAGTTATAGCAGTTCAAATGTATGGATGTGACACCCGGGAAACAACAGAACAAGACAAACAAAAATTGAACACCTTCCAAACTAGATGTCTGAGACAAATTCTGAAAATAAGATGCCTCAGCATCATATCAAATAAAAGCCGTCACATCAGAGCTGGAACAAAGAAACTTAGTGATGATATTATGGAATGTCGTTGGAGATGGATTG